GTGAGAGGTACAGACACTGTTACTCATACAAAGATCCCACAACTAGAGCATTTTGCCAATAAAATATAACTGTGTATCACATAGAATTTAGTAGCATTCTGTGATGCAAGTCAAGTCTTGGAGGCATTCTCATTTTTACAAATCTGAATTATGTCATTTTTTATATTCCCATATCATTTAAAAATGATTGTGAAGGGAGAAAAACATACTTTGCAGAACATGGATAAAATTGATTTTTAAAAATGAGAAAAGCTGTGTCTAAAAATAAACTTAGGAGGATCTATGAAATTTCTGTAAAAAACATTGTGGTAGGTAAGTCCCAATATTATACTTTGGATATGATAGTATTCTCTCCCACTTTAATGAAAGTAGCATACTAAAGACGGGGGCTGTACAGTATCTGCTAATCTGTTAATGTATTAAATAAATGTTTCCTGGGCATTAACTTTGCAATCATCCTCCTGGCATTTGCACCTGTCTTTATTGTGGCGGAACAGGAAAAAGAAAATGCTTGAAGGTTATAAATACAAGTGTCAATCCTCATGACACTTTCAAAATAGATACAGAAAAGCACAAAAATGTATTTGTACCTACCCAAGGAACTATTAGACAAGAAATGTTTACAGACAAGAAGAAGGTGAGTGATATTTATGATAGGGAATAGCACATGACATTTAAAACTCAGGAAATAAAAGTTTGGGATATGATACAAAAAAGGAATCAGTATTGGCCTTGGTGCTTTGTCATGAAGCATCAATGAAGATTTAGTTGCAGCAAAGTGAGGAAGAAGCTAAATTGCACGCCTTGAACTTATTTCTTTTCTGACCTTTTGAAGCTGCTAGGTTGAACTAATTTTCTCCTGTGGTTACAGCTTAAGTGGGTTCCAGAGTAAGGAACCAACAGTTCAGCAGGAACACAGTAGATTGTGCACAGCTTTATGTGAGAATGAAAGGAGAAAGTGCTGACAGCCCTTTGATGAATTAAGACATATTAAATCAGATGATCATTTTTATCCATCAAAAAATCGTTCTGTTTCATTGTTATGTGTCGTAGCTATTCAATTAGATGACCTGAGGAGAAATACCCAGCACCACTGGATAATGTTTCTTAAAAGAGTGATCAATATATAAATCTGAGTAACCAAGAAGGCAATCTCAGGTAGATAAAATGACAAAGAAAACATGATAAAATTCGCATACTTGAAAAAGCAAATGAGTTGGTTTTCTTGGCAGATTTTTAAGAAGTAATCTGGCTGTGTGTTTTGCATTGCTGCATGTGTACATGTGTGTGGTACACAACTGTGTGTGTGTGTTAGTGTATAATTTGGATGCCATAAGGTTCTGCCTTGGTTTATATGAATACCTCGTAAGAAGTGTATAATACCCCAGAGTTATAAACTTTTTTCTAAATTAAAAAGCAAAGTCAGTCCTGTTTGATTTATGAATGCTAACAGTGTTGAATGCAAGACATAAAAAGGAAACTGCATTATTGTCTCTGCTTCACTGAGTAACTCTAACAAATATAAAACTACTGAAACCAGTATTAGCAGGAGCACTGAGCATAGTATTTTCAAAGCAAGACTGGGGGCCTTAAACCGCACCTACAATTAAAAGGCTGCTCTGATTATGCTTGTCCTCTGATTTGTTAAATGCAAAACTTTGCTGATGGACCAGAAAAACGGTTGGAACAAACAGAAATTACAGATCTTTTTACTCATTGTAAGCTTTTAGTTTTGCATGGTAAATTGGTTAAAAGTGGTTGATAAAGCCATGAGACATTTTGAGTAGAAAACTAATGATCATCATTTTTTCCTTAAAAGAGTTTACTTATCATGATAAGGTTTACTGAATGGTTATTGAAGTGTGAATACTAACTTTTCAAAATGAGCTTTTATTTTTCCCACCAGTAAAAAAATGGAAAGAATTTCAAAAGCAAATCTCAGAGGTACAATTTCTTGGCTAAAATCACTGTTTCCTAATTCTTTGGAACTTTCCTGCTTTGCTGCAACAGTCTGATCCTCCAGGTCAACAGGGAGTATCACATTTTAAATTTCAACATAGTTCAACATAGTTTCCAAAGAATTTTACTTGATGAGTATATTTATAGACCACTCTTTACAAATACCCTCAAACTTGGTCTATTCCATATTGCTGCGTAGGTTGCATGAAGATTTTGTGCAGTTTTATTTTTTTACATAGACCATAATATCACTGACTACTTAAACTTTGTTCAGTGTTAAGTTGAAGGATTGCGATGGATGGATGCTTTCTTGACCACATTTTTATATAAATACCAAAATAAAGTAATTTTACAGAGTAAAGACTCTTTCCCTCTAGAATTGATGTGCATACAACAAGTACATTGATCTGATTATTTTTTTTTTTTAAGGCGGGCTGCTCTAGAATGGTCTGTTCTCCAGCAGTTGCAGTTTCAAGAACTCTAATGATACATTCCAGGTACCAGAAATGCAGCCAAGAAACGTTAGTCTTGGGTTCAGATACTGTCTTCCTGAAGGTTCTATGATCCTAAAGATTATAGGATAAATGCATTTATTATTTAAAAGTAATAATAATTACGAATGTACAATCCAATTGTGGGGTTTACAAAGTTTGAGTGAAAGCGTTACAGCATGGATTTCAGAGATCCTTAGCTAGTGCCTTTAAATTATTTTCCCATCAGCAGGTACCTTGACAGGCATTCTAGTGCTATGTGGGTGAACTGAACAGCCCTAAATGCTCCTCTCTTTTTTCAGAAGGGATTTCTCTCAACTCCTCATCCTCCTTAGAGTCCAGGAAAAAAAAAATAATCAAAGGTGATTTTAATAATCCTGAGACTGCTTCTGCAAGAAATGGCCATGTGGCAAATAGATCCGAATTGCTGAAGCAGAATTACAGTTTTATAATCAGTATTATCATTTAATAATATGGTGGATAGCTCTAGAATTTCTTTCAACCTTAGAGCTCAAAGAAGTAGAACATGTATGAACATGATTAGGAGAACTTCCTTTGAGGAAAAAATTGCAGCCCTTGGAAACATCTTTCAAAGGCTTCAGTCTTCTCAGCAAAACAATCTCTCTCTCTCTCTCTCTCTCTCTCTCTCTCTCTCTCTCTCTCTCTCTCTCTCTCTCTCACACACACACACGCACACACACACACACAGCAGGAAATCCCTGCAAAACTGGACGCAGCTGATGAAAGGCAATGGCCAGGGAGAAATTTCAGTGGTGTTTAGCATGAACGACAGGGCTCATTTTGCATGCAGTGAAGTAGAGCAGCCAGGCTGAATGGATGGAAAATCCCACTCTCAAATCTTACATAAATACTGCTTTCGCACATACACTTTTCCAGTTGAAATGCTCCTATAATGAAGCCAGAGGTGACAGCACCGGGAGGGTTTTTAACCACTGAGGAGGCTGTCAGGAGTGTTATAAAGGGGACTAGCGCTTTCAAAATGCCTAAAACCAACCCCAGTTCCCCTATCTCCCTGTTGCTGGTGCCCAGGAGAGGACACTGCTCTCACATACCTTCTCTGACGTCCTCTCTTTCCCTCTGTCAACCCACAGAAACAGCAGTTGCTTGATTAGCAGCTCAGCGCTCAGGGACTGTGGGATCATGCTCCCCTAAAGAGGAAACTCTTGTGGAAATCTTCAGGAAACGGTGGAAAGTTGAAAGGGCCTTTTCTCCCTCCTGCTTGTTAGGTTACAAGCTCTGTTCTTTAATTGGAGCTAAAGTGAGCAGCTGACAGCCCGATTTTTCATTAAGGACTAATGTTGTGCGTTCGCAACAATAAACAATTAATGTTTGATTTCTTCCATTTAGCAACCCAAGCAAACAGCTGCCATCTCCGCTGGCAGAGGCAAAGGGCCAGCGCAGGACGTGCTGCCCGCTCCGTGCCTGCGGTGCAGGGTCGACAACCACCAAACGTTGAGCTTTCTGCTACATCGGATGGGGGGAGATTGATCTTGGGGAGGGGAAAAGCAGAGGAAATCGTGGATACCTGTGGCGTCATCTGCGTTGGCGGCGGCGTGTTTTCCCTGTTTCCCAGGCTGAGCTGGAGCCCAGGAGGCAGGGATTAGGTGTCCTGTAAACCTGTTACGCGCTGGGGAAACCCGGGCGACGGCGACAGCCCCCTTTGCCTCCGGCCCTGGAGGGGCGCGGCCCGCACCCCAAGGCTCTCGGGAAGAGGAGTTGAGACACAGGTCCGAAAGCGCAGCTTTCCGGAGGCTCTGCGGGTTCCAGGGGAGGAACCCCGGTTCAGGAGGCCTCCGCGAGCTCGTTCCCCGGGCTCAGGGCGACTGCTTGAGGGTCCTGCGCGGGCGCGGGGCAGCGTTCGGGTGTGGGCACAGCCGCGAGGGGGTTCGGGAGCCTCGCAAGTTTGTGGCCGCCACCGCACCCCCCAGGCTGGAGCAGCCACTTGTGGGAAAGCTTTCGCGCCGCGGCTTTCGAAAGGCGCTGAGCCTCGACCCTTAGCCCCACCGCTGGGGTCGCCCTTCCTCGCTCAGGAGATGAGGAGGTGCAAAGCACCAGTCGGAGGGCACCTCCTTCCCGCCCCTCCGCCTCCTCTCTCTCCCCTCAGGCTCGCGCCTCCTCCCGCCTGGGGGTGTCTGGCGCTTCCCATTCCCCGCACGGACCCCGCAGTGAGGGCGCGCGGCTGCGGCGGCGCCAGCCCGGATCCGCAGGCGAGGAAATCGCCTGGCGACTATAAGGATGGAGATGGACCCGAAAACTGCAGGGGCGCAGTCTTGGAGCCTCAGGCCACCTCACAATCTATTATGAGAGCAGTTTGCCAAAACCGTCAGCCAAAACCCGAGGCGTCCGCATCAGCCGCGATTATCGCCAAAAGAGACGCAGCCCAGCCTTGCTGGTCCCACCAACCCGCACCCACTATCGTGGGGGAAAGAGGTGCGTAAGGGGTCCGAAGGGGCCTGGGAATGCCTAAGAGAAACATTCCCCGCCGGGTCTTGGGTGGTGAAGGAATAGATGGGTAGGGGCAGTACTTACTCTCCTGGTTGTCCGCGTTGGCGAATTTCAAGCCTCCTGTTTCACAAATGGCTGGAGGGGGTCCGGGTGGGCTCCCGTGGGCGCCTGGTGCTGACCGGTTCCTGAGCGCTGGGCAGGCGCCTCCGGATTGCGTTCATGCCTCTCGGAGATGCCGATCCCGGGGCGGAGACGTGAGGCGGGAGCGCTGGGCTCTGGGTGTCCGCAGCCCAAAGTGCAGCCGGTGAGTTGAAGCTACCGTCTATGCACAAACCCGCGGAGACGGCGGCTGGGCTCTGAGGAGGACGGGAGATTCCAAATAAATCCGCTAATTCTGGGCTGAGCGCTCCGGCGTGCGAGCCCGCCTGCCTGCCAAATGTAACTGTGGAGTGTTGTGGAAAAGTGAACCGGGTGCCTCCCCTGACGGATCTCATTGGGCAGAGCGCAGAGGCAGGTCTACCGCTTGGAAATGCATGTAAGCAGCCCCCCTCCCCACCCACCCTCGCCTTCCGCGATGCTCCCGCGCGCCCGCTCTCCGCTCCCCTTCCTCCCTCCAAGTGGGCGCTCAACTTTTTGCTCCTCACTCGCGAGCACGCCCCGCGCGTCTCCGCCACCGGAGCCACGGCTTGAAGATGCGCCCTCGCAGGCTGTGCGCGCGGCTCGCGGAGGGCCGCCCTGCCGGAGGAGAGTTGTCAGGTGCCAACGGGATGCGGAGGAGGTATCCGCGCGCTGGCTCTGTCAAGTCTAACCTGAGCACTGGGGCCAGCGTTCTCTTGAAAAGCGTTTCTGTGAGGCTCATCTATCTGCGTTGAGAGGAGGAGGAGAAAGAGGACCCACCCGAGAGGGCAGAGCGAGGCGTGTGGGCAGTTTACCTTCTCTTTTTCTTGGGCCTCTTGAGTGTAGCAGAGGGTGTTTGTAAGGCTACTCCCTGCTACTTAGACCCTCCTGCATTTTCCTGGTCATGGAGCTGAGTGCATTCCTGATGCTCCGGACTTCTAACTCATTTGGGAAGAAGGGATGTGGGACTTTCAGGAGGGGCGTGACATGGTGCGTGTAAAATAGAGCAGAACTTGTTGGCAAACGGAGGGAGAGACTGCCAAGTCCTCCCAGTGTGCGCTGACCTGTTCTCTAAGGTCCCATCCCGGACCTGATTCCGCCAAGGTCCCCTGTCTGTGTTCTCTTCCAGTCCGCTGATGGGTTCCACTCAGATCTTGAAATGGTCACGCAGAGGTGCCGCCCTGCAGGAAGGAGAATGAATCAGGAGGTCCAGATGCCTGTGTTTTTTTCATGATTGAGACCAAAACGCAGAAATATTCAATAGCTTTGATCCTATTTTAATAAAATTGACGAAATATAAGACAAATGACTGTTCACTTTAGAAAAGAAATTCTCCTTCACTGGAGACTCTGATTTAGTTCGTTCTCTGCATCCTTGATGTGAGTGCTAAGAATGGCTTTGTACCATCTGGGGACAGAGCTGAAGCAGAAGGGGAAAGGGTGCAGGGGACCAGACACATGGCCTGTAGAGCTTGTGCTGTCTGACTCGAATTAATGAGACACAGTGAACAAAATGGAACAACAGGCACAATATGCTTATGATATGTATGCAAATTTGACTATTTTGTACTGCATGGAACATCCCTTTGTAAAACATTGCAAAGAATATTGACTACAGGCCTGATATCTGTCTTGCACTCTAGCCATCACCGGCAAGGAATTTAGTGAATTATTTCAGAGAGGGAGAAATGAAGAGAACCAAGAGGTATTGCCGCCCTCCCACTGCAGGAAGTCACTAAATAACTGTTCTCTTCTCAGATTGTTTCTGCTCCCAGCTTATTCTGGAATTGGCTAATTCTGCCTTAGCATAAAAAGAACAGTGGTGACGCCTCAATCAAATTATAACTGTTGTTAAACCAGACATGGACAAAGAAAGGCCACCTCTTACATTGTGCTTAACTTTGGGACAGGCATTCTCACTTTGAGCGAGTGGTCTGAACTGTTCCTTGGGGTGCTTTTTTACATCTATGAGACTTAAAGGAAAGGTCATGTGTTACAGAAGCCTGAGGATTGTCACAGGTAAACTCATTTCAAAAGAAAGTAGAAATGTTAAACAGTATTCTAGAATCTCTTTTTCTATGGAGAAGTGAAAGAAAAGAAATTCATACTGACCAAGTTGAGGGACAGAATCTCCTCCCTTGGGTACCCTGAGTTAGGATATTTGCTTTGTCTTGCTCTATCCATATTCATTTTCCTCAAAGCCATTGTCCTCTTTTCACTTTGGACTCTCTAGAATTTACAGTAACCTTTCTACATCTGCTAATCTCTGCTGGAAGCATTGCAGGGAATTTCCTGGCAAATTCTTAACAGAGGTCTGGATGATTAAGAAGCCTAAAAGAGGATTAGGATAATGTAAAAAATCCTGTAAGGACATTTCTAAAATAATCAGGGATGCTACAAGACAAGCCCTTTTCTCTTTAACAATTCCACCCACTGGTGATAGGAATGCAGTGTTATGTCACAAGGGTGAGAGCCTACACCATCTTCTCCTGGGTTACAGCCTTTCAGCACGCATGGGGGATGCTACACAGGTTTTAAGGAATGGGTATCAAAATCACAAGTATTTTGAAGAATTGCAGAGGAGGAAGGCTGAGAGATTATTTAATAGGACAGTAGTATAACCAGGAGGAGTTCAGGGGAGATAGAGAACTGAGTTAAGAGTAGCCTTGGCAGTAATGCTCAAGTGGGCTGAGGCAGGAGGTCTTTAGCCTGGGTTTCAGTGATGGGCAGACAGTATTGTAGGTATGACTACTGTAGTAGACAGTGAATAACAAGGAGACAGACTTCATGTATTAAAGGGCATTTTTTTTCCTTCCCTTTTCTAGAAAGGTTGTTGTAACAGTGACTGAGAGAAACAGCAAGCCAATTGGCCAGTTAGTGGAGGTTAGTAGGAGCAAGGTGAGCCAGCTGGTTGTAGCCCAAAGAGGATAAGATATCTGAGCAGACCCTAAATTCTCCAATAAAGCACAAAATGGCAAAACTGGAATATGTAGATAATGTTTGCTCCTTTAAAACAAGCATTCTTAGTCCTCATCCTTTAGTTTTCTTTCATTTAAAAGTGGAAACTAATACAAGATAAAATATTTTTGCTATGCTATGATTATTAAGAATTTTCAGCTTAATTAGATTGCTTTTAAGTTTAAATAAGCTGTTGAATTTGGGTATATCTTGCTACATATATTTTGGGGGATCCAGGAGTATGGATTACATGAAATAAGAGGCTTTATAATGTGAAATCTGACAAAAGTAGTATGATTTAAGAAGAAAAATTTAAGCATTTGAAAGATGTATAAGTCAAAACACAAATACAGCACTAGTGAGTGTTTAGTATTGTTCTACTAGTGCAGTCTTTTTAACATATTTCATTAGAATGAAGAACTCTGAAAGTTTGTCCTTTATTGGGAGTTGGAGGCTAAGCAATATATAACAATTATGAACTTATCCATAAAGCATATCAAGTTTCATTTTGAATTCCAATATTGGAAATAAGTCATAACAAGGGTAAAAGTATGAAAATAATTTTGAACAACACACAAATATTTAAACAAATTTGGGTAAGTTTTTCTTAAAGTTTGTGAGTTCCTTTTAAACCAGGTTCTACTAAAATCACAAAAATGGTGGGGTGGTTCTCAGTTAAAGTGAAGGTTAGGAATTATGAAGGATTTCCTTAATAAGCCAATGGTGTTCAACTTATGATCCCTGGACCAATTTCAACCTCAGTATCTTCTGAAGGTTTTGGAATCTGTATTTTAACAAATACTCCAAGGAATTCTATTGCTTGCTAAAGTTTGAGGCCCTTTGCTATAAGAAATTTCCCACTCTTGTGGTACGTTAAAAATGAAAAAGAATAAAGTGTTGCATTATATTCATTCTTTTTCTGGTTCTGGAACATTTCATTTAAGAAAAAAAATGTAAGTACATTAAATTTATCATGTGGTTTCTTCACCATTGTTTCTGATGGAATAAAAAAAAAAATCCCTATTCCTTAAGAGGTTATGAATTCTTGGAGTAAAATCTTCAAGCTTGTTGTTCAGGGTTATGATACTCTGCCATTCATGAAAGCTGGTTTTAGCTATTCCTTAAATTAGGCTTGTATCCCTGACTATTGGCTGTAATTACTAATCTTCAGCTTGTCATTATATTTTCTGTAAATGGACCTGTAAACACTTTCTGAAAACCACATCTGTGCTGTGAGCATTGGGGAGAAGGTCTTCAAATTGGCCTTATATCTCATCTCTCCAGGTGTCAGGAAAGAGATAAGCTCCAATTCAGCTTCTAACAAAAAATGGGAGTGGGCGGGCAGGAAGAGGGGACAGCTTTAGAGGAACTGGCACAAAGCTATCAGTGAGCCAGCCCAGGTTTTGTGGATTTCAGTTTTTTTTTGTTGTTGTTGTTTTGTTTCATTTATCCTGACAGAGAATTGTAACTAGGTTGAGATTCTGGACTCTTCTTGCTTAACTTTGTTAACAAGAGGAAAAAGAATTTAAAAATATTTTGGATTGTATTCTGAAAGAAAGATGAACAAGGAAATATAAAAAGAAAAGAGACAGAGACCTTGCATTAGTGCTACACAAAATTGAATTTAATTTTAATTCTTGTTTAAAAGTTCATTATTTAAAACTTACTTACTTACACTCACGTATCACTACAGATGCACAGATGAATAAAGATGTATAGAGCAGCCAACACGCCTCTAATTATATATGATAGAGTTTATAGTTTGGGTTGTTATCAAGTTGCTTATTAAAGACAAAACCACATCTATATGCATTCAAAAAATGCTCTCAGAAAATTGAAAGGAAATTACATTACAGAGACTGTGAGCAAGATTTCTTTATCAGTCAAAGGTGCATAATGCTGTCTAAGGATTTTTTGTTTGTTTGTCTGTTTCTCACAGATGCTACCATGTGGAAAATGGGCTACCGCTTTTAGGTGGCCGTCTCCTGCCTACACCGAGACTGGTCCTATTAGATGGATATCGAAGCTTTTTTTCTTCTACCTCAAGTGCCCTCTAGCGTGCAATATCTGCGCAGGTTGCTGTGCAGAAGGAGGTGGAAAGAAAGAAAAGGACATATTTCGCTAATTGCTCTTCTAATTCCTGAATCGCTCTCCTCTTCTTTTCAGCCTCCTCAAAGGGGTCATTTCTTCATACGTATTTGGCAAAACAAAGAAAATAGCTGTTGCTTTTGCATGAAAAACAAATCGCTCATTTACCAAACTGGGAAAGAAATGCTAATCCTTTCTCAGGGGCTCCTTTTGAGCATTCATCATAACTTTTTTCCCAGAAGTTGCATGCACTCTTGTAATCAGGCAAATAAAAGAAGGTAAGTTGCTCCCTGGGAAGAAATGCTGTGTTGTTCCCAGCTCCACCACAGACCAACTATGGCTTTTGATGCAAACTGATTAACCTCTCTGTAGTTTTTAAGTT